TCAGTTTTCAACGGATTCTGATGAAACTTGGTGTGATCATTGGAATTGATAAGATCTCGGACAAGTTCTAATTGTACACATTTTCAATGAACGGTCTTTGAGTTATTGCCCTTGACTTTGTTAAAACGCGTCGAAATTTGTTAAAAATAGTTCGTGAGCAGGATTGAAGCTACAGTTTTCAACCGATTCTGATGAAACTTGGTGTGATCATTGGAATTGATAAGATCTCGAACAAGTTCTAACTTGACGCATTTTCGATGAACGGTTTTTGAGTTATTGCCCTTGACTTGGGAAACACGCGTCAAAATTTGTTTGTGAAGACAAAAGAGACTACAGTTTTAAACTGATTTTAATGAAATATGGTGTGATCATTTATATTGATGAGATCTTGGACAAGTTTGAATTTGATAATACTTCGATGAACGGTCTTTGAGTTATTGCCCTTGACTTGTGAAAAACGCATGAAAAATTAGTTGGTGAACACATTACAGTTTTCAATTGATTTTAATGCATGGTGTGATTTTATATATTGATGAGATAATTTGAGGTATTTGGGTCATTGATATTGATTTTTAAAAATTTGGTGGAATTTCTCAGTATGAATAACTGGCAGTAAATATATATATCATTGAATTCAAACTATCAAAATTTCTTTAATATCCGAAAATTCATACTTTAGTCACTAAGAACTGTTTTAACATTTCTGACAGCTGCCAGTGGGCGTATGTTACCTTGCCTGGCAAGCTATCTTAATAAAATTTGGTGTGATCATTTATATTGATGAGATCTTGGTCAAGTTCTAATTTGACGATCTTTTGTTGAACGGTTTTTGAGTTATTGCCCTTGACTTAGGAAACATGCATCAAAATTTGTTTGTGATCACAATAGATGCTACAGTTTTCAACTGATTTTAATGAAATTTGGTGTGATCATTTATATTGATGAGATCTTGGACAAGTTCGAATTTGATATTTCACTGAACGATCTTTGAGTTATTGCCATTGACTTAGGAAAAAACCCATCAAAATTTGTTGGTGAACACA